TTCTTTCTTTCTTTCTTTCTTTCTTTCTTTCTTTCTTTCTTTCTTTCTTTCTCTCTTTCTCTCTCTCTCTCTTTCTCTTTCATTCTTTCTTTCTTTTTGTCCATCATCATGATTACATGACTTACCTGGGCATTCCTATCATTATGAGCCAAATTATCAAATGATATTTTCCTTCTCACATGGACATCAACGAGACTCTTGTGGTTATCTTGCAACGGTCTCTCTTCTACAGTCTCTTGGGAGGATGTCCCTCTCAAGATAGCAGCAGAAAGCTGGGAAAGAAATGATACATTAACAATTTAAAAATGGTTTCAGTGAGTGAAATACAGCCAGTAGTGATTCTCAGTACACCTGAATTTGAAAAAAAAAATCAAACAAAACTAAGATCACCCATGGAGCAGTCAATTCCTTGGTGAGAAAAGAAAGGGCCAACTTCCAGGATATTTCTTGTCCTTGCACACTAATGAAAAAAATATCCCAGTTTGTTACTTGCTCCAATATCACTAATACCGCTCTATGAATTGATATGCTGGGTAGATGAATTGCAAGATTTCATTAGGGGGAGTTCTGAAGCTGACCTGAGCAGCATTATACTAGAGAATAATCAGTTACCAATAGAATATTTTGCAAGACCCCTGGTCTTTACTCTGAAGAAAGCATGGGAAAGGAAGCCAAGCATTAAACACAAATAAAAGTCTTGCTTATAGTACCGGTGTTTCTGATCTTCTGTTAATAATATCCACTGCTCCATGTTTTCTCTGGGTTTCCATCTTCTGATGCTCAGACATTCCAAGCTCATCCTGGAGATCCAGGTTCCGTTTGGTCAGCGCTTCCACTTGACTCCTTAGTCTGCTGTGGGCAGCTTGCCAGTGGATCTTGTTTCTCCTGAACTCCTCCTGCAGGCCTGCAATTTGCTTCTTCAACATCTGTTATTAGAAAGCAGAGATTGTTTTCAAGGAGAAAAAAAGACACTGATATGTTTCTGATGGAAGATTAAGTATTTACATTAGATCTTAATCTTTATTCATATCAGATGGGAAATTATGGAAGATGGGCATATCAGGAAGGTGTCAAGCTGGGAAAGATTAGACAGGCACCTAAAGGATATTATTGAACCACCACCCCATCCACCAAGTCAACAGATGCAAAAAGAGCTGAGTAACAATACAAAGAGAGAAAAATGGGAACTTGAGAGCTTGTCAATTTGTAATTATTGCAATTGATTATGTGCCAAAAGTCAGTGTCAACTATAGGTAAGACTTCTCCAAGGTGACCTGTCCCTAACCTGGACCTTCAGGTCTTCCAGTGATAATTATTGCAATAAGGCCAATGTATTCCAACCTTTTATCTACCAGATGAATTGGACTATAAATTCTATCATCTTACCTAATCAGCAGGGACACATATTAAAGATGGAATGATAGAAGGCTGGAATCAATTAAACATTAGCTTTACCCCAAGATCTGGCAAGGAAATTCTTTTGAAAATGCAATGTGATTGTTATCTTTTCTTACCAACCATAGAATAGCAAGAGGAAAAATTCTAATAGATCTTTTGGAAGGTTACTTGGCTGCTCCTCATTACCTTCACCATCTCAACACTGTATGTGTACAGAACTATAAAATGCCAGACAACAGAGAAATCAGCACTAAGCAATATCGTCGTGAAATTCCAGCTAACCTCTAAGGAGCATACATAGAAACACATCAGAGGTGGTATTCAGCAGGTGCTGACCAGTTCTGGAGANATATGCTGACTCTGTAAACCGCTTAGAGAGGGCTGAAAGCCCTATGAAGCGGTATATAAGTCTAACTGCTATTGCTATGTAAAGAGCTTCAGTTCTAGAGAAAATGGCATAAATACAGTTTTACCAGGTTTTCCTATGGATTTTCAAGGCAGGTGAATCCATTGGCTAGAACTCTTACCTAAACCCTCTTCTGCAACTTAGAAGTTCTACCCTTTCAAGTCATCCTGGCATGGTGACACCGTGGTGTCTTCACCCTGCCCTCCCCAAGTGCTCAGAGAGGTTGCTCTGCCTTCCAGCAACAGGGCAGGCCAATGCTTTTCTCAGCTTTAATAGAAAACATGGTGAGGGAAGAGGCGACATCAGAATGGGGCACTTTTGTGCTGCCTCAGTGGCCAGAGGAAGGGCAATGGTTGGCTCAAGGGGAGGATAGTCTAGAATGAGAAAGCAAGGAGGATACTCCTGCAGCAGTGCAAAGATGCTCCGGAAATAGGAGGGATGAAGCTGATAGAGAAGTGCCTCAGTCAAAGAAGGCAACAATCCTCCTAGTTTTCTTTCTCCTTTTGAATTTTTACCCATAGGTCTAGAAGTCAGCCACTTAGAAAAGTTTATGTAGTGTCCAGCCCTATTAATATAGCAGGCAACAGACAACAGTTCATTTAGTGACTGTTAAAAGTTATAACACTAAAAAAGCGACTTATGACCATTTTTTCATTCTTACAGCCGTTGCCGCATCCTCATGGTCATGTGATCAAAATTCAGCTTCTTGGCAACTGATTCATATTTATGACGTTTGCAGTGTCTGGGATGATGAGATCCTCTTTCTGCGACCTTCTGACAAGCCAAGTCCATGGGGAAGCTAGATTCACTGAACAACCATGTTACTAACTTTAAAACTGCAGCGATTCACTTAACAACTTTGGCAAGAAAGGTGGTAAAATGCGGCAAAATTCACTTAACACACATCTCGCTTAGCAATCAAAATACTGTGCTCTATAGTGGTTGCAAGTTGAGGACTATCTATGCTATTTGCAAGAAATACTAAAGAAAATGGTCTATTCAGGGAATCCACATTACTTTCTGGATCTGAAATGGTGTTTGATGGGGAGTCCTCTGACCAGTAGGGGTTAAACTTCCATTATTCAGCATTTTAGATGGGCTCCTTGTTCTTTGTTCTCCTCTTGCAGTTTTCAGTGACTCAGACCTTAGCAATGTCCTTCTGGCTGCCTAAAAGACATTAGAAGTTTTTACAAGAAGTTACCTTTTGGGGCCCCTATTAGAAAAAGATGCAACTAAGCAGGGATGAGTTCCGGCAGGCACTACTGCCGACCCGCTCATCTGCACGCTGTGCATGAGCAGAAACAAAATAACAAGATGGTGGCACCTACAGTGCCACCAGGAGAACCGGTTTGGGGGCGTGGCAAGCCTGAGTCACTGCTGCTTCCAGCAACCCAGGCCACCAAACTGGTCCAAACAGGTAGGAACCCACCGCCCACAACTAAGAAAGAACAGCTGAGATACATAATAGAAATCCATAATGGCAGTGATGACTGTCTATTTATATTGTGTTTTTAAGAGTTCAGTGCCCTTAATCATACACTGAAAGCTTTACAGTTGGTGAAGTAAACATTCTACCCTATGCCATCCAAGCATCCTGGGACTACAATTTCCAAAACTACAGCCAGAGTGGCCTTTGTGAATTACAGCCACAACCATATGAAAGTTGGTTGGACCAAAGTTAAGAGGGAAACATATAGCCAAGGATGCTTACTGAGGTCATAGAAGCAACCAGATTCAAATTAGGATTTTGTTACAACTAGCTTAGTATATTAACCCTTGGACCATATCAACTTTCATTTCATATGGGAATTTGATCCTCGGACTCCATAGTGCAGCTACAGTACTATGCAAATTGTGCCTGTTCTTTATATGCTACAGGGGGGTTCTTTCTTTCTTTTTTTCTTTCTTTCTTTCTTTCTTTCTTTCTTTCTTTCTNATCAACAGCTCAGCCGGCTGCTGTTGGGCCACAACACTAATCATAATTATTTATATGTAACTTTTATTATAAAGCTTTGTATAAAGGGTTATATTTGACCTGTTATTCCTGTTATATTTGAGCTGCTTTTATGATGCTGCCCTGTGTTACAGATGCATTTCCTTCCTTGCTCCAACTGTTTTTGGGACAGACATAACATGCAACATTCTGCAAAGCTAAATTTCAATAACTTTCAATTAATGTACAAGCAGCAATCTCAAGGTTTCTTTAAAGAGAGAAAGAATCCTGCTGCCAGTCACAAATGCTGTTTTTATGAGATTCACGTCTGGCACAAATTGCATTATAAATTCAATTTCTCTACAAGTCAACATAATCAGCATCTCCTTGGAGACTGTCAGTCCTGCATGGGGTGCTCCAATTTGCACGTTGATGAATTGCCATATGGCACAGACATATGCCTGTAATAGTTTAATTTTCGCATTATGTGACCCCCGTCGTACCCAAACCAGCTGTATGGGAAGAAGGAGCACCTAGGAGATTATGCAGGACCTCTCGGAGAGCAGATGGGGATGGTGAACACACTTCCGGCAAATAAATTTTTCAAAAGAGGTGCCAAATGAAACTAACTGCCCAGCATGCCTGGTACAACCTCAAATTAAGGATATTTATAAAAGACAGTTCCATTTTATCCAGCAAATTGCATTGTCCTGAAGCAAATTGTTTTGTTCTGATACCCAAATTGAAAGCTCCTACATCTTTTATCTTAAAACAGCATCAGCTCTTTCTTCACCTGCAGCTTCTCTGATCCATATTATATATTTACTAGTACCCACACTGCTTTTCTCTGTTTGCAACTCAAATGGCTGGAACATATTTTGAACCACCTTAAAAGTCAAAAAGTAATATAGGAGCAAAGTGAGCGGAGACATTTGAAACAGGGATGATAAAGACAGAAAATGAATCATACACATGCACACATATGTACCATACACACATCTATGGTGGTTCTCAATCATCCAGGTCATGATTGTTCCAAAGGTGCTTTCAAAAAGCAACTGGACTTTCTTGATTTGATCTTGATTCTTCCCACAACAGTTGATGTCAGTATCAACCATACAGAAACATAGTAGCAGTGAAGAAAGGTGCCATGTCTTCTTGTAGTCTATGTCCCATTAACCATGATTTAGGATATCAGTATATGTCTTAAGCAGGTTTGTGTCTGTGTGTTTGTTTGTGTGTGTGAGAGAGGGGGGAGGGGAGGGAGGGACAGAGACAGAGAGAGAAAACCATGTGTTCAAGCAAATACTGCTTTCCAAAGTTCATATTTTTTATTTAATGCGTAAATGTACAACATCCCCCTTCAGGAATGGAGAAATATCAACTGTTACATACTGACAAACAGTATGGTAGTTTCCACCAAGGTCCTCTGCTCCGGCAGGAACAGTATTCAAATCTGATTGGCTGAAAGGTCTGACAGCTCCCTTTAAAAGGGCTGCTGCCAGACAGAGCCTTTGCTGGATTGTACATAATTGTCACTTAATAAAGAGCTGTTTGTTGCTGAAGCCTGAGTCTGCCTCATCCATTCACCCTATGAATGGCCACTGGCGACGAGGATGGGATTGGAAGGCAACTAAACACCAAAAGAGCAAATACAATCCAGCAAGTCAATCCAGCCCGGAGCAAAGCGCAGCATCGAGCAGCCACCTTAAAGCGGATAATTCAAATTCGCTTGCCAAGACAAGATGACTACGCATGCCCCACCAGCTCCATACAACCCAGCCACCAAGCACTGGGACTCGTATATGATGAGGTTCGAATGCTTCCTTGAAGCCAAAGACCTCCTGAGCCTATCTGAAGGCTGGAAGAAAGCAATGTTCCTGAGCTACTGCTGACTAGATGTGTTCTAGATGGCTAAAGACTTGTCTGAACCAACGCCGATCCAGTCAGTTGTTTGGTTGGTCCTACAACAGACGCTGCAAACACACTACACTCCCAGACTGTCTAAATACATGCGGAGGCACAAGTTCAACCTCCACAACCAGAAGGAAGGTGAAACAATCAATCAATATGTTGCCGCACTTCAGAAGGCTGCAGCCTACTGCGAGTTCAGGGACTTAGATGAACTCTTGCTGGACATAATTATTTTTGGGTGTTCCGGACATCAGTTTACAGAGGAGGATGCTTGCCAAAACAAACCTCACTCTACAAATTGCCCTGGATGAAGCCAGGGCTATCGAGTCTTCAAC